GAGGCGTCTCCATCGCGTCTCGCCTGGACATCTTCCCTCTCGGAAATTATGGAGCTTGACTCAACATCACCTCCAACAGATGACGCGTGATTCATGGCGTCCGATGATAGGATTGGTAAATAATACTCGTAATGATTGCAAAATAACACTCATAGAAACACAAAATAAATATTTTTTGCAATTAATAAGAAGTCGAATATATATTTGTTGACTTGCGACTTCACAGTACGAAAGTACACAACGCTATGTAGATCAAAGATGGCTGCGCTCCCTTTATACTTGCTGGCAGCACCTAGCGGCTAAAGATGGAACTAAATTGACTGTCTATGGTTGGACATAGACAAGGAATCTAAGCTAAGTACACACTGCTTCTTCATAATACAATGCTGTATGTTTTCCAAAGGCACATCAATAATAATTTTTTTACAGTTATTGTTTGTTGTACAACTTAGGTTAGGTTCACACGGCATTGTCCTCAGAATACAGAACAAACCAGGAACCGCAAGCGCGCTTAAAAGTGACAACAAAAACTACTCCGAGTCAACATTACGCGAGCGGGAAGTATATCGTTCTGTTTCGCTCTATCTCGCAATAGAGACGTACATTTTTTTTTTGGGCACATTGCATATTAAATGCGGCTTCTGGTTTGTTCTGTATTCCGACACTTAAATCTATTTATTTTTTATTTTTTACTTAGTTCTAAATAATATATTCGTTTTGCCATAGGACAGATCCGTCGTTTGATAAAACCTAGTGACTAAAACTAGATCTTACACTGTTTGCTTGAACTTTTCGAATTGACGTACTTTGAAGATTTACAAATAATAGAGGATTTCCACATCTTCAGAATTGTGTCCCTCATGTTCACGCACGTAATTGGTACGATGCATGCTTTTACGATTTCTATCATTAGCCTTGGTGAAACATCAATAATAGCCTTATGTAGGACCCTCCATTTTCCTGTTAAGATACCAAAAGCGCACTCCACGTATCTTCTTACCCTGCTCAGGCGGTAATTATAGATTTTTTTACGAAAATCTAAATATGGTCCTCCAAAAGGACGTAGTAAATTACTATGTAGAGCAAATCCCTCATCACCAATAAATACATTAGGCTAATTGTCTCCACCTTCTAATAATGGTGTTTGTTTGGGTATTTTTTTTTTATTGCTTAGATGGGTAGACGAGCTCTAAGCCCACCTGGTTTTAAGTGGTTACTGGTGCCCATAGATATCTACAACGTAAATGCGCCACCCATCTCGAGATATAAGTTCTAAGGTCTCAGTATAGTTACAACGGCTGCCCCACCCTTCAAACCGAAACGCATTACTGCTTCACGGCAGAAATAGTCGGGGTGGTGGTACCTACCCGTACGGACTCACAAGAGCTCCTACCACCAGTATATGTGGCGAACCGTCATTTTTGACGTCAACAAACGTCTTGACTCTTCGTGCTCGTCCTGCAGTATTAAGAGTATTCGGTATAATTTACTATGTTTTCTTTTACAGCGAAACTGATTATTCAGAGGTGGACTCATATAAGAGATAATTACAATCGATCATATAAAAAGATACAAGATCAGAAGAGGTCGGGAAGTGGCGCCAAAACAGCAAAACCTTATGTTTATAGTAAACAGTTATCCTTTCTGCAGAAAATAGTACAACCTAAAGAGACAATAAGCAATGACACTACCGAAAATCACAACACAGAAACCGAAAAACAGAAAAATAATTCTGAAGGAAACGAAACATTGGAAGCAAACTTTGTACAGACATCAGATAATATGGTAAAAATGAGCCCAATACCTAAAAGTATTCATAAAAGACCTATGAAGAATGCAGTTAATCCTCTAGATGCGAAGATGATGAAATTTATGGATTCTTATTCATATAATGAATCTAAAACAATGAATCGGCATCTTTCATTTTTTAATGGGATAATACCAACATTGGATAAGTTTGATGATGATGAAGTCCTCGAATTCCAAATGGGAGTGCTACAATTATTGAAAAATATTAAAAGCAGTCGCCGTCGGGAGTCGCCGTCGGAAATCGTCGTCGTCTATAGGCCTCCCATGAATTCATAGAGGACATTTTACTCAGGAATACCAAAATGATACCACAAACTACAAATTCCATCCCTATCAAGATTCTCTTGTAAGTCCGGCCTCTGTCGAATCCTCCGATTCTAACTACACAGAAATTTATTTTAATGACTTTTATAGCAATGCTACATTTTACCTACAACGCTGCACTGTGACGCGCTCACTCACACAACGATAACCACGAGTAATCTACGCATTGCCACCCCACTACGACGTCAACGATCGCTATTTAAGAGGCCGCAGCACGCCAGTTATGACATTCGATAGCTAGACGGCAACGAGTGCGATAGCCCCGCAGTCCACTCGTCTGCCCAAGTTTGATCTGAGCGGTAGCCCCGCAGCCCTCAGAAAAAGCATCAGCTAGGAGGTTAAGGAACGCGGTAGCCCCGCAGCCCGTTCCAAGAACCACCCTTAGGAATTGTACGTTTACCTTAATATCTACGTATCCGTGTGTTTTGTATAATTTGTTACATGAACGAATAAAGTTCCTGTTTACTCAGACATCAGTTATTTTAATTCATCTGGCAACATCACATTTGGCGGCGTTTCATTGTTTTTACACGTTTTGCAGTTGCTGCGAAATACCCCCGGTACTCCACAACCATAACAGCTTATCTGTACACTTTCGCTTGAGGACTTATTTTTTCCCATTGCTTCCTCTGACAATCTTTTACGGCAAACTTCTTGAAAATGGCCTTTTTTGCCACAGTACGAACATCTTTTCGGCTGCTTCCTCTCAATACCCGTGCGCAGGCTAGTTTCTGCAATTTCTTCGGCTTCTTTGGCAAGGTTTTCAATATGTCGACCTCGTTCCAATAGCTCTGAGAACGATTTGATCTCATAGCGAGGAATTTCTTTTTTGAAGCGGATATTGAGGAGTCCGTATACGAAATCCAGTTCCTCTTCTTCCTTGTGCCTTTTTGCTGGAAGATGCGATAGCAAGGCACGTTTGTCACAAACGAATGCATCAATAGTTTCGTTTGTTTGCTTCTTCGCAAACAATTCCAGATAAACTTCATGCGGTTGCATTTTTGGGGCAAATGCACTTCTGATCGCGTCTAAAGCTGGATTCCACTTTTTTATCTCACCTTTGACGCCACTCCACCACGTAGCTGCTTGTCCTGTTAGTAACAACGTTAATCCTTCGAGAGCGTCTTCGTCGGTGATTTTTTCAATTTTCTTGTAGATAGTAATATTTGTGATAAATTCTTCTACTTTATTATGATTTCTTTCTCCGTCGTACCTTTTTGTGCAACGAGCGAAACTGCTTTTGTGTTGGCTACCTTCGTTTANATATTCTTAGTGAGACGTATTTTGAGTAAAATGAATATGTATTATTATTATTGAATTATTATCATTGAATTAAAGTGAAGGTATAATATAAAGGGACATGTAGACCTCTCATTTACGGGTATTTACTATATTGTCTAAGACGTATTAAAATCTAAGTAAAATGCTATTTGACTTATGCAGTAAATTAAAAATTTTAGGTTTCCTAAAGAACCTAATGCCAGGGAACAATGGATTGACGTGACAGGTAGAGAAAACTGGAGACAAAGACGAGTACTATTTGCTCTAAACATTTTACTGAAAATGATTTTACCATAAAAAAAATCAGAATACACTTAGTTTTGAAAACTTTTTTTTCTTTTCAATGTTTATTTGATGTTATGTATGTAATGTTTTTTTTTTCAATATTTATTTCATGTTTCATTTTCTCCATTCATTCATCAGATAATTTATCGATAAAGAATATCGATTTTATCAAGCACTAGCGTGTATGAACATTTTTATTGCCTTTTTGCGTGTGTAAGTGTGTATGCCTACGGGTGTTTTGTGCTAGTTTGCGAACGAATATCTGTCCTGAGATTTATGTGTGG